GAAATGAGTAGAAATGCTAGAATGTTGTGTGTTTGAGCTATTAGATGTCTTGTTGATATTGTATGATGTGTTGTTGATGATTTGGAGGTGGAATAGTGTCTGGTTTCGCTTTGCAGATGAAGAAGGAGCCACAGGTGCACCTCTCAGTGTGCACCAGTAGGAGTCACGGGCCTAGCCAACGACCCATGAGGGGAGCTGTTGGCTAGAGCCTTGGCTAGATGGCCTTAGGCAAGGGCCGTGGTCTTAGGCCGCCGTCGGGCGGTCCCAGGCGGCGGGGCTCTTCTAGCCCCACCGCAAGCTCTGTTGGTTTTGTCTGTGTAGTGGTCGGACCCTTGTGGCTCAGCTACATGTCGTTTCGGACAGGGTGTCACGGGCCCTTGTGGCTCGGTACCTTGGGGCCGTCATGACGCACGTTTGGACTTTGATTTCGTTGAATTTGGATTAGAAATGAGCATGATATGATAGAATTTGTGATGAAATTGTGTTACAGTAATCTTCAAATGAAAAGTATCAGAGTTATACTACCTATGTGAATTGCTTGATGTTATTTGATTGAAAAATAGAGAAGCATGATCATTAAGTGTTTGAGTATTGTTAGAAAGGCATGTCTAAAGTGTGTAATTGATTCATCGAGAATATAGTCTGATTACATTTGTTGAAGTGTACAGAGCATGTTGTTTTGCAATCCTAGCATGATTATGTGTCTTTTGAGAGTTCGCAGTAACATATAGAATTGAAGCATGTTGTACAGTAAATTACATCCCAAGCATGTCATGTTTTAAAAAATACATAAATGGCCAACGTGAACCTAAGTATTATTTTCCAAAACTCATGAGCATGTGGAATGTCATTACCTTGTTGCATTGAGTATTTGTTGAGAAGTGACATGCATAAGTTTACACAAGTAGAAGAGTTGCTTGAGATATATATATATATATATATATATATATATATATATATATATATATATATATATATATATATATATATATATAAGTGAGGTTTTGGAGGGCCCATTGGGATTATGTTCTTTCGGAGAGGATGACCGGACATTGCGATCCGACAGATTTATCATGTAACGCGGTGTATTCCCACGTTACGAGGTTGGAGACTGCCCGCCAGGCTTGGAATCCTGGTTAGGGGTGTGCACACTAAAAGTACGATACCTGATTCCACAGAGAAAGCAAGCAAGAAAGAAAGATAAAGAACCAAGAGAGTGGTTCTGTGGGCGAGTTGAGTATGTGGCCGGCAAGATTCCCGAGCCGGTTAAGTCCATTCACGATTCGTGAAGACCTACCTCCCCACGAGTTAGAGGTTCTGTAGTTATGGATGTGGCGGATGCACAAGATTGCACCGTACGCTACGGCTTCGCTGCGGTGGAGTACCTGCCTCACACAAGAAGAGAAACGAGAAGTATGAGAAAGTTTGAGCAAGAAAGAAATCGAGTCAAGAGACTTAAGAGAAAGAAAGCGAGTCATTGTGACTCTAAGAAACCTCCACAGAAAAGTATTCTATTTACAAACGAGTATATAAGTATACTTATCCTATAGCATCTTTTTGCATTTGAGTATAGTATTGCACGAGATTGCATAATGAGAATGTTTGCACGAGATTGCATATCAAAAATGTTGCACTAGATTGCATATTGAGAATGATTACCCGAGATTGTATATTGAGTGTGATTGCTTTAGTTGCATATTGATGCATGATATTTCTAATTGCATGATGAGAACTTGAAAGCATGAGAATAATTTCTTATTGATTAATAGCATGATATTGCTTGATAAGTTGATGTGTTAGCATGAGATTGTTATTGAAATGTTATAGAGGATTGAGTTTTTCTATGTTAAGTATGCGATAGTATGAACATGTTGTTAGGTTTGATATCGTTGAAGTATGCTTATTTGATATTTTAGGTTGTGAGCATATAGAAAGCTTTGTGGTTTAAATTAAGGTTTTGTCTAAATGATTGAGATTGCTTAACTTGGGAATGTGAACAAATGTTTTTCCAAAGTATATACTGTAGTATTTTACAGGGTTGAGTGTGGTTATACTTAGCTTCGTGCTAACGGGTGTTTTCTACTTGTCTACTTGTTGTTTTGCAAAATCCCTTTCAGGTGGGCTCATCGTGTGACACCCCGTAAATCCAAAATCTATTTAAGGATTAATTAGATAATTAATCCTAGCTTAATTGGTAATTTATTCCTAAAATCCTGAAAATTCAATAGTCGGAGGACTAGAAATTGACTAGTCAATCCAAGTCAAAGAGTTGTACTCTATGCCTTATGAATTGTTCCCTTGTCTCCTTACTCTTCCAACTTTAGTAAGGGCAAAGAAGTATTTTCACCTTATGATTGTGCTCCAAGCTAACCTAGCCTCACCCTTTCATTTCTTTTCCTAACACCCTAAACACAAAAGCTCCACCTTCTCTCTAGAAAATTGTTAGCTTCTTCTTCAAGCCAAGTTGTGGGCAATCCTAGATTCTACAAGTTGGTCTCCAAGATTCATACTTTCTTAACCTTGAGCATAAGGGAGGGTAAGCTCCTTGATCTCTTGGTGTTTTTAGTATCTTTTTAAGTGTCTTTTTCTAAAGATGGAATCTTTGTTGTCTTTTGGTGTGTTCATGAAGTTGAAGTTGAAGGAGAGTCTTAAGAGAAGCTTTTAAGGGTGTGAAAAAGTGAAGTAGTAGGCTATAAAGGTAACTCATGCTTTACAAAATCTATTTTCTTACATATATGATGATTTCTTGACTTCTACTTGTGATTTTTGCTATGAAATGTGAGATTTGATGCATTGTCTTGTGAGAATGCATATCTAGAGCTTGTTATTAGGGTTCTTGTATGCCATTGCTTGGCTATTTCTTGGGTTCAAGTCATATTGTTGCATGGTGTGTGATTTTGGGTGTTTTGGACTTGAATTTGGACTTGTTGTTGAAAATCCCGTAAGGGATATTTGGTGTACAGAGTGGTACCCGCGGGCGGAACGGCGGGTAGAGCTCCACCCGCCGCCCCACCCGCGGGGAACAAGCTTGTGGGTCGGGGTACCCGCGGGCGGAACCACACCCGTGGCCCCACCCGCGGGGTACATGTTTGGTGATGGTCGGGGATTTATTCCCCGTGATTCTTTTGACTTGGTAATTGATGTTTTGACCTCCCGATGTTGTTTTGTTGGGCTATTTGAGTGTCTTCTTGATGTTTCGTATGTATAGAACGGTATGTTAGGAATCCATGTAGGATTTGGTGTCTTGAATCGTGCTAAGTGTTCAACCTTGTGATTCGTTGAACCATGATGAGTCTTGTATATTCTACGGAACTATGTTTGGATTACCCATTTGATAAGCATGCTAGTTTGACGTTGAAATGCTAGTGTGTGTGGTTTGTTCTTTCCTATTGAGGTTGGCAACTTGTGTTGGCCATCGTTGGTGTCGAATTGTAATCCTTCCTTGTTGACTATGGTTTCATATCTTTGTTGTAATCCATTGATTGATTCCTGTGATGAAAATGTGTGTATTGGTTGTACCTTGATTGCACGGTTAATGGTATGGTACATTAATCACCAAGGTACAGATGTGGTCCTCGTGGTGGCCATGCATGAGATTGGTGGTGTGACCTGAGCGTAGGCTCATATGTTGGCGGTTGTGTGATTGAAATTAATGGTACCCTCGTGTACTGATATGTTGGCGGTTGTTAGCGGGGGAACGACGGTTCTCGGAGGCATAAGGTTGGACTCAGAAGTACAGGGGTTCTCGGAGGTAATGGTTGGAACTGTAATAAGGCCGGGGGTAGCCATAAGGTTGGAACAGGGCATAAGGTTGGAACTTGTGACATGAAGTGTCACTGTGGCATGTAGTTGCCAATGTGTGAATATCTATCCTTTTCTGATGAGCATGTCGAGTGGTATTCTACTTTGTGATCAGTAGAATACACCCTGAGTTGTACTTGTTTACTGTTGTTGTCCTTGTCTTGATGTTTTCTACTTTGTGATCAGTAGATTATATCTTGAGATATATTGAGTCGTACTGTTGTTGTTCTTGTCTTAATGTTGTCTTGGGATGTTGATTTCTCTTGCCCTTTTTGAGAGTGAAATAGAGCCTTTGCAGTTGACTTCTCTCTATGACTTTTGAACTAATATATACTTTATTCTGTTCCGAAAATGGTTTTGTTTTATACTATCTATATATGCTACTTAACGCGTATTGATGGGTTACCAGCAATATTCACTGACCGGGCGTCGTCCCCTTTCTTTATGTTGCTTTACAGGTCCTGAGTACCTTATGGCGAGTGCGCTAGCTGTTGGTTGTAGTGTAGCTTCCTTGGACTTTGTAGATAGTGTTTTGGGCCTGTGAGCCTTGAGTTGTTATGAACAAGATAGTATGTTGTTTTAGACTTGCCTATGCATCCACATTGAGGTGGATGTGGCATAGCACTTCCCGGTTTTTCCCGTTTCTAATTTAAGACTTCCGCTGTTGCTTACGTTTTATGATACCTATTAGTTACCTTGCCTTACGTATTTAAGCTTTTAAAATGTGATGAAAATCGGGGGGTGTTACAGTTTGTATCAGAGCCTAGGATGTTAGAGTCTAGACTTTTAAGAAGTTAAGTGTGGTTTGAGACCCTAAGATGACCTTAAGTATCTAACTGTTTAGGACTTAGGACTTCTAGGACGTGTGGTGAGTTGTGTGTAGTTTATATTTTGTTCTGCTTGCTTGTTGTTTCTGCTTAGTTTTGTGTTCCTTTAGTTAGCGCCAAGTAAGGGTGCGATGTTGTTTGTGCCTATCGTAACCGTGTTGTTGTTGTAAAAGCTTTGCCATGGCACCACCTCGTAAACACGCTCGTACGCCGGAGACCCCAACTAACGAGCAGCTGGCACAAAACTTGAAACACCTCACGCAGACCATGCAAACCCTAAGTGAAGCTCTGCTGCACAACAATCATCCTGTTCCGCCGCCACAGCCTGCCGGGCATAGAGATGTGGGACTAAAAAAGCTGTAAAACAAGTCACTTTGGACTTAATTGAACATTTTTACAGTTTTAGGGGATCTAAATGGAGCTTTTTTTAGTTAGAGGATCTAATTGCACTATCCAGTCGACTTAGGGGGCCAATTTGACATTTTTTCCTAGATAAATTTATTGATTGTTACTTATGAGAGAAAATGTATTACTTATAACAATATTGTGATACTTTTGACGTAAAATGTCAACTGGCCCAACTAGCTGTCAACTAGCCGCCGCTGGCGCCCATTGGGCTCCCCCAGCCATGGCAAGGCCAGCAGGGGCCGAGTGCCTCCTGGTAAGTGAGGTGAAAGAGAGTACGACCCAATGTGAGCGTGCAATCACCGCCCATGGAGGGGGCGGAACCGGCCTCGGCCGACGAGGGAACTTGTCAAGTTCCCCCAACCGTGGCGTGTGCAGCTAGGTTTTAGCACCCTTCGACGGGACGATGGTGCCCCCACCAACGGGGCTGTGAATATGGCATGACATAGGGGGTGGGGGGGTAAGGGGGTGAAAATTGATGGAGAAGGGGGCGGGTGAAAAAGATGAAGGAGGATCACACATACACTTGTCAAGCATCTAGAGGTGTTTCCACACTATAAATATACATCATTGCCTTCTGTTTTGATATGATAACTTGTTTGAAAACTACACTACACCTAGTCCAATATTCCATGGTCTTTACTTCCTACAACTACAATATCACTTCTAGTCCATTTCTCAATCGTTATGCTGTGGAATCGTGTCCACTTTGTAAGGCGGACACAATTCTATGTTCATAATTACTGAACTATATGTTCATAATTATGAAGCTATATATTCATAATTATTGAACTTTATATTCACAATTACAGAACTCTATGTTCATAATTACTGAACTATATGTTCATAATTATAAAGTTATATATTCATAATTTTTGAACTTCATATTCACAATTATTGAATCTCTATATTCATAATTCCAGAACTATATGTTCATAATTATGTTTACAACTCTATGTTCATAATTATAGAACTATATGTTCATAATTTTTGAACTATATATTCATAATTATGAACAGTTTTGAAACCGTGTCCACTTTACAAGGTGGACACGATTCCACAACATAATTTGCCTCCATTTCTCGCGTTATATTTATTTATTCTTTGGGCCGTTATTTCGAGCAATAATGTACATATTCCTTTGGGCCTAGTGTTTCAAGTAATAAAATTATTATTTTCCTACCTCTCACTCTATACATCCATACCCAATTTATGGTGAATTCGGTTCTCATAAAACTATCAACATTAATTATTACGCAAATTATGCTATGAAAACGTGTTCACCATGCGCATGGTGAACACAGGGGTAGATTCATAATTTCTATAATATAGATTCTTAATTTTTTTATTTTTTTATTTTTATTTTTTGAAAACGTAGATTCATAATTTTGTTGTTCATTTATTCGTTACAGATATATTATGAATCTATAGTACAAAAATTATGAATCTACAGTTAGGGACGGAGCCAGAAAAATATTTGAGTGGGGGCGAAACTTAAATGGCGTTAGAAATATCAATTACAAAAATATCAAACAGTCATAATAATAAGATTAAAATACAAAATATATTATAAATTACAATAGTGTTATAAATATTATTATTATTATTATTATGGCCATTATCACAAGACCTTTCATTTGCCTTATATTTATTCCATTATTTATGTTGAAGGATATGAAGAGTTGTATGGATGTATATATATTCATATTGAAGGCATAATGAAGGCAGGAGCTTGTGTTCTTGAATTCTACATTCTTGTGTTATACTTTTCTCTCTACTCTTCCATTCCATTTGCAATCTTCTTCATACATACAATCGAAGCGTTACTGTATAACTATCACGTAGAAACTGAGCTAATCAAAAGGTCAAATTACAACACGTTATCAGCACGAGGGATGCGGAACAACCAGATAAAAATATCTTTGGGAAATGGCTATAGTCTGGTTGAATTAGAAATTGCCATTATTTTATATATATGGGAGAAATTTATGAAAAATGTTATAGTTTTCGACAACACAGTTGCCTTATAAATTGCTTTTAGTAAATGAGAATCTGGATCCAGAGCTAGGCACCAATAGTGCCCTGATTTTTTTTTATATAAAAGAGCAATTAAGGCATATACAACTCAACTCACTAAAACTGTATTCTCTTTATAACGTGTACACCATTTAATGTTAACCCTGAAGGTTACAAATGGGTGTTTGTACAAAAAGAGAAATACAAATAATCTGGTGGTATGATATAAAGCGAGACTGGTAGCTTAAGGGTTTACGCAGAGACCCGAAATTGATTTTGATCAAATGTTCTCTCTCATAAAAGATGACATTACGTTCCGCTAATTAACATCATTGGCAGTGAAATATGAATTTAGATATGCAGTTGATGAGTGTCATGACCGCAAACTTACTGGTCATTAGACGCTAATATTTATTTGTAAATCCCAGATGGATTCAACACTTTTGGAATGTGGAAAGTGAAAATCACAACGTGTATCATTAAATTACAAAAGTCTTTGTAAGAATTGAATATTATTGACTTAGTGTTTTTCCTCCTGAAGAAGGAATGCATATTGAATGATTGAGTTGACTGTGTATTTTTCCTCCCGAAGTAGGAATATGCAAATATGTACCATTATGTGTTCGTTAAAGAATTGCTAATGGAGTTATTTGTTTATTATCATAGTCGATATTGATGGTTTAAATATCATTGAAACACATAGAGAGCTTGGTGATATCGGCTCATGCCGAAAGACAGAGTTTTGAAATAAAAGACTTGGAAACCCAAGTATTGTCTCGACTTGAAGATCGAGCTTCTCCTTGAAGAAGTTTTATACACCAGTTAGCCTATTTGAAAAATGTCTTGAAGATGTTTTATATGGATAAGTATCATTTACTTATCACACATACGGTTGTCCAATAATCTCTTGAAGTAAATAAATGACTATTTAGACTCGAAGACGATAATGGTGATATTTTGGGACTGGAAGTCCATTACTTCATTGTTATTGGAGTACTATTATTGAACTAGAAGTTCCAAAATCGCATCAGGCCTGATATTGAATTTGCGATGAAATTGCTAGCAACATTTAGTGTTTCCCCCAACAATGAAAATTGGAATGATGTTTAACATATCCTCCGTCATTTTCGAGGTACAAAGATTTTGACGTTTATGTGAGAAACCAATATGTGGTTTTGATGGGCTACTTGGGCACTGGCTCTTTTATTTGATCCCTATAAAGCCAAGTCTCAAACTGGTTATGCTATGTTTTACCCCCAATGTCCCATATGAGGATGAATAAAGATTGTGTTGCCCGAACAAGTAATAGTTTTGTTAAGGTGAACCTTACAAAACATATTGCATGCACCTAAGTCCTTCTACACACATGAACTCCAGAAGAGTGGTAAAATTCTTGTTGAGAAAGTTTGCCCTAGTGAATAATCTTGCAGATATATATGTTCACTAAGTCTCTCCCTACATCCACTTGAGTAATATATTTATAAAATTGGGATGCGTTGGCTAAGAAGATTGTTATCTTCAGGGGGAGCGACAACCCCTAGTTGTGCTAGAATGGGCAATCTAGAGGACTTTTGAAATCCCGAAGATTATGCTACGAAAGCATATGGTTGTACTCTTTTTCCCTTAGCTAAGTTTTTCCCACATGGTTTTCTTAAGCTAAGGTTTTTAATGAGGCAACCGATGTTGGTGCACTTGAGTGGATAGTCCTGAACACTCTTGAAATCTTGAAGATTATGCCCATAAGGCTTATGGTTGTACTCTTTTCCGTGGTTAAGTTTTTTTCCACTGGGTTTTCTTAGGCTAAGGTTTTTAATGAGGCAACCGGTGCAACACATGGATCAACATACTTCGTGTACTCTTTTCCTCGTCTAGGTTTTTCCCACTGAGTTTTTCTAGCGAGGTTTTTAACGAGGCATGTGTATAGTTTGATAATGGCCAAGGGGGAGTGTTATAAATATTATTATTATTATGGCCATTATCACAAGACCTTTCATTTGCCTTATATTTATTCCATTATTTATGTTGAAGGATATGAAGAGTTGTATGGATGTATATATATTCATATTGAAGGCATAATGAAGGCAGGAGCTTGTGTTCTTGAATTCTACATTCTTGTGTTATACTTTTCTCTCTACTCTTCCATTCCATTTGCAATCTTCTTCATACATACAATCGAAGCGTTACTGTATAACTATCACGCAGAAATTGAGCTAATCAAAAGGTCAAATTACAACAAATAGAATGTTTTTGATAGATTAAACAATAATTAGAGTCAGAGCCAAAAATATATTTGAGTGGGGTGAACATGTAAAAATAGTTATGACAAAATATAATTCATAAAAGTATGCTAAAAAAATATTTATCTTGGGAATGAATGAAAGAGATAAAATAAATAAGAAAAGTGTTTATAATGAGATTTGAACCTATGGCAATACATTTTTTACTAATAACATTAAATTAGAGTTCAACCAACTAAGCTACTCTAACTAATAATAAGTATAACATAAAAATAAATTTTATATAACATTTAACGTTATATATGTCAATATATACATACATATATATAAAGGGGTGGGGTCGGGGGTGGGGAGTACCCCTAAATTGCTTCCGTCCCTGTCTACAGTATAGATATTATGAATCTACAGTATAAAAATTATGAATCTACAGTACAAAAATTATGAATCTACAGTATAGAAATTATGAATTTACAGTATAGATGTTATGAATCTACATTATAGAAATTATGAATCTACAGCTTAAAAATTATGAATTTATCTCGTTAACAACAAATGAAACACAAAATTATGAATCTTCAGTATAGAAATTATGGATTTACCCCTACATTCACTATGCGCATGGTGAACACGTTTCCACAGCATAATTATTGAATTATTTACTTAAATTAATGACTAAGATGATGATATACGGAATAATTTATGGTGGGCGGTGACATTTCTTGAACGCCACAATTATGGATTTTATGTGTTGTGTCAGTCAACATTCCCTTCACTAAAAATAAAATTTCAGTATGTAATAAAAATAAATATGTAAAAAAAAATGTATATATGAATAATCTAAAGGGATGGTCAATCCGACCCGTGGATATCCACCTGAATCCACCCCGCATGGATCGGGTTTTTTTGGGTGATGGTGGGTGGTGGGTCGGGAGTGGATCTTAAAAAAGTAAACTTGCGGTGGGTCGGGTTGGATTCGGGTTCTGTGTACAAGACCCGCCTAGAACCCCACCCGACCCACCATGTGTGTGTGTGTATATATATATATATATATATATATATATATATATATATATATATATATATATATATAATAGTAAAATAAGTACTAGTATGTAGTTATTTATAAAAGTTTATATAACTTCGTGTATCTTTTTACTATTTTTTTATATCAAAACTACTAAGTTTATTTTTAAAAATTAACAATTTAGTTATTATATTTAAATATTTCCATTATTTATGTTTTAGTATCACAAATGGATTTTATTTTTTTTATTATGTGTAAATAATTTAAATATTATTTTTTGAAAAATATAATAAAATGATAAGTGGTGAGTACCCGTAGTGGGCACCCGCACCCGGTGGGGGTGGGGGTGGGTTCTGAAAAAGTCCACCCGATGCGGGTTAGAGGTGGGACTGGGTGGAGAAAATATAAGGTGGGTCGGGTGATGAATGTAGCCCTCCCCGACCCACACTCGACCCATTGCCATCCCTAATAATCTATGTTATAATATATAACATAGTCCACAATAAATAATTGCCTTTATTCAAGCAACGTAAGCCAAGGTAATAATCCCACCAATAACCAAATAACAGCATCATTTTTTTTTTTTTTGTATTTTTGTTTTTTATTCTTATACATTTTTTTTATTAGTGGGAGATTGTTAAAAATAAAACATTGCTATCATCAATTAATTATAAATGATCTTTAATATATATTATTGTGTACATATATTTATTTTGTATTGATTATTCTTTTCCCTTTTACATTATATCTGTTAGGATTAAGCGCTTACCATTCACACCAAAAGTTATAACTAGTAACGAAAGCGCAACTTATTCCATTACTTATAGATTGTTATCACATTGTTCGAGACAGATTGTGTGTTGGATTTAGCCCTTAGAGACTTCTCCGCCCAACAATCCCGGCCATAACCACCGGTTACTAGACATGGTCCTTTTACCGGCCTTACAAACATTGTCCTTAAAAAAATTCTGTCTAATGTTTAAAAAATATGAATTCTTGCCAAGTCTTTTACACAATTTCAAAAGTAAACTGTGGTAAACAACGTAGAAAGAGTATAAAGATGGATAATTAATTACTTAATTATATAGACAAGTTGAATCGTAGCATCATGTAATACTTTTCACATTTCATTTTTCCTGAAGTTAAATTGATTTTTTTAGTCATTTATGTAAGAAATAGTAAACTAAACTAACCTCCGGCCATAGTTATTCTTCTGTAAAGCCTTGTATAGTTTGCCTTGGTGTTTCTGTAGAATGTCTCTCGCTTGCTCCCAGGTTCAATATAGATGGTGTATAGTTTATGTCAAAAGATAGTAACCTGAGCAGTGGGGGACCCTTGCTTATATAGCATGTATGCCATCAATATAGGCTTTGTAACGGTTACCATTACAACTCCTTATTATGGCACCACTTATTGACCACTAAAGGCCATAATGACTTGCACCATTAAGTTTTCCTAAATGAAAAACGTTACATTCTCCCACTTAATTGGTGCAAGTACAAACTTAAATAAACAAAAGACATGAACTATAGAGATATGTCCTCTTAATACGAGTAGTATCTACTATAATTACAATGCAACTTGTTCTCTAAGTACTTTATGTGGTGACCAAAAAATTTTATGGATAAACCTTATGTTTATTCCAGGTCCAAAAGATATATATTTTCTCAACAAAATGTGCACAATACAATAACGAGAAAATATCTGAATGCTTTAAGAATTTCATAAAATAACTGTATGTATACAAATTTTACAAAGTGGGCACAAGTCCCATGTAACACCCCGAAAATTTTAAAACTTTTTAATCTTATAATAGGAAAGTAATTCTATTAATCAATCTTAAAACAGAGCATACTAATCATAAATGTTTGGGGTGTTATGCCACATCTGAGCTAGAGAACTCAGATGCATAGGCTACACTTAACTAAATATCCTCAAAAATAGCGAGAGA